CAGCGCCCCCACAGGCGAGCGGGGGAACAGGTTGCTTCAACAGGTTGCTTCAACAGGTTGGCTCGACTGCACAGTGCAGTGTGAATGCAAACGCACCAGCTCAAATGTAACAAAAGGTCATGAATATTGGTCCCGAACCGAACCCAGTCTACCCGACTATCTAGTGTGAAAACAACCTTAAACTCAAAGCAGTCTGCTCCTCAGATAAATAACGTTAAATTATTATTTTATATATGAATGTTTCTGTTCAGTCCCTGAGACGACTTCTGTTGTGACTTGGAGCTTTAGAAATAAACTGAACTGAATTGAATTTGTGAAAGTGAAAATTAGTAATGTCAAAAACCACATAAGGAACTACTGTTGTACAGCACTTTATGATTTTATGTCTGTGATAAGCGCTCTATAAATAAACTTTACTTACGAACTACAACAGGGCTATTTAACTGGCAACCCGGGGGCCAAATCAGACCATGGGTGTGCGGCTCCATTCGGCCCACAAATGGGTTCATTTTTAAATAAAACTAGATTTTAAATCTCCTGATTCATGCTCAATAATCTAGGCAGAAAAATCCAACAAAGTTAACTTTGTTGGATTTTTCCAGTATTATTGAGCATGAATCAGGAAATTTTCAACCACTTTGGTGATGACTGCCTCTGACAAGTCGGCGGAGGAGAGGGCAGACTCCAGAAACCATTTTTAAACTGGTTGACCCACTACGTGAAGGTGCTCTTTATAAGACTGAGTTTGTTGTAGCTCCTCGGACTGATGGAGTCTTTTGGATGAAAGACGAAACGTCTCAATAAAAAGAAACTGCCCAAAGGACCTGACTGAACTTTGTTGGATTCATTCATTCATTCAAACTTTCTTTAAACAGGTGAGCCACGAGGACTCATTTACAAGAGACACCTGGAAAATAGATAGATGGATAGATTTTAAATCGTAAAACAAACTTACTTAATGAGAATAAGTGCTGGATGTCCGGTGTCTGTGACTCATGAAAATATATTTAAATCTGCTCGTGTCCTTTTAATTAGGAAAAATTATTTGAATTATGTGTCATGGTGCTAGATCTTTAAATTTATTCTTCATTTATTTGTTTTGTTTGTTTGTTAATTTTGAGCTTCTTTACATTTTTTACTCATGTTGCTGCTTGTGTTTTGATTTATTTCATGACTTCCTGTTCTTGTAATACGTTACACCGATGTTAGTGAAAAAGTCAGACATTTTGTACTTTGTCATTTCTGTTGTATGATTTGTAGCTCTTGTCATTGTGTGTGTTTGGTAATAGGAGAAGAGGAAGAAGCAGACCGAGATAGAAAACAAGAGAAGGCAGCTGGATGATGATCGACGACAACTCCAGCATCTTAAGGTAAAGATACTTTCACACAAAAACACAAATGAGTCAAATTTGTTTGTTTTCTAGGAGAATACACGAGTGAATCAAAAACTTTATTTCTTGTACCACTAGAGCCTGATGTTTTAGCGTTTTTACAACTAAGTATGCTTAGCTGTTCTTTAAAAGCATAAAATGTTTTGTCACAACACACCTGCAACATGATGCAGTAAGATATGACGGCAGTCACAGACCTAACGTTGCCTTAAAAAGTTACTAAAATGACCTAAACATATCTTTTACAATATTGGACTAAAAGTATGGTTCAAATCAGCTATATGTAACAGTAATGAAATAAAGCTAGAAAATGGTGAACAACGGTAAATAACAGTGATCACAACATGAATCATAATGTCCATGTTGATGATAACAATAATGAGAAAGTCTCAGAAATTTCACAGGGCACTGACAGTCAGCAAAAAAGATTAAGTCATGTCATCTGGACAAGTTTCTTTAAGGGAGAAACGTTTCGTCTTCCATCCAGAAGGCTTCATCAGTCTGTGGACTGCCAACTACATCTGTCCCATAAGTAGCCTTCATTGCTGTGTGGCCTTGGGGTCCTCAATTGATTCCATTCTGTGTTCGTTTGTCTCTCCTTCCTGTCCTCTCAACCAGCTGGTCAAAGCAGATGGTCTCTTGTCCTGATCCTGGTTCTGCTGGAGGTTTCTTCCTGTTAAAGGGAGTTTTTCTTTCCACTGTCTCCACTGTGCTTGCTCAGGATGGGAGACTGCAACAAAGCCAAGATTCAACTTGTCTGCTGGATTCCTTAGATAGAGAACTTTACTAATTGGATTTTATGTGAATGTTCCTGTAAAGTCCCTGAGACAACTTTGTTGTGATTTGGCGCTATAAAAATAAACTGAATCAAATTGAATTGATTGTTTTGGGCAGATGGGTCCTTTTGCATGTATCAAGTCTGCTTCTGAGATTCCAACGGGAGGTCGTCTTGAAACACAGCAATGAAGGCTACTTAATGGAACAGATGTGGTTGGCAAGCCGTAGACTGATGAAGTCTTCCGGATGGAAGACGAAACGTTTCTCCCTTAAAGAAACTGGTCCAGATGACATGACTTAACCCTTTCTGTTGTTGTCTACCTGGATGATTGAGCTTACAAACCTTGGCATTGACAGTCAAAGCACAAAACTGGAAACACTGTCGTAAGCTGCCACCAGGTCTACAGAACACTTATAGACTGAATAATCAAGCTCCCTTCAGCTGAGGGCTTGGAAGTATCCCCACAATCACCCAACACCTCCTCCCTGAGCAATTTCAGAGTAGGAGAGAGTCTAGCCTCGCCCCAGTTGGGCTTCAAAGCCAAAGCTGTGCATAGAGGTGAGTCCAACTATGACCAGCTTGTTCCATGCCCCTAGACCTAGTTTGTACCACCAGGAATGGCCTGGCAGGCTCAGGGATCCTCCCTCACTTGCAGCCAGGCTTGTATTGCACTCTACTTTGATGGTCTTCCTCGTAGGTGGCGGGTCCACGTGGAGGTAGCATCCTATCTTTCTTTTGGGCTTGGCCTGGCCAAGCCCCAAAAATCAAGGCTCAAGCTCCCCCCAGGCCTGGCTCCAGGGAGGTGCCCCAGGTTCCCTTCTTCAGGCAAGGTTTTTCTAAAGCATATGTTTTGTCCATCGAGGGTTTTGAGTTACCCTTATTCTGGCAGAGGCCTGTTTGCAATAGGAGACCCTAAAACAAAGTTACTATTTTGCTGCCCAATCAAAATCACATGTTGCTTAATGAAGATGACCTCCCACTGAATATGTGAGAAAGACTACAGATGAAGTCCGAGGAAAGTAAAGCAAAGTTGGACATTCTAGGGTGACAGGAAGTGATGCCGAAATGTGACAACTGTAAAGAAAGGAACCCACTTCTCTTTGGAAGATACAGACCCTTTCCAAAAAATTAGAACATAAAACTTCCATAATTCCATTCAAAAAGGTAATCTTTAATAGTTGATAGATTCAGGGCCCACTAAGCAATTTCAAGTATTTATTTGTTTATTTTTACATAATTTGAGCTTCCAGCTCATGAAACCCACAAAAACAGGATTTCAAAAAATTTGAATACTGTGAAGACATCAGTCCACACTTCTCAGTTTTAGCAGAAAAAAAAGATATTAGGATCAGAACAAATCAATCAAAATATGGTTCTTTCAAATCAATATATCAATCTTCAATAGTTGGTTGTGAATCTCTTTGTCTTAATCTCTGCCTCGATGTGACATTGAGACAATCAGCCTGTGGCATTAACTGGGAGTTATGGAATTGAGACCATCAGCCTGTGGCATTGACTGGGAGTTATTGAAGCCCAGATTTCCTTGATGCTGTCAGATCTTCTTTGTTATTGGCTCTGGTGCTCCTCATGTTCCTCTTGAGAAGACCCCATAGATTCTCAATGGGGTTTAGGTCCGGCCAGTTGGCTGGCCAGTCAAGCACTGTGGCATCAAACCAGGTTCTGGTGCTTCTGGCAGCATGGGCAGGGGCCAGGTCCTGCTGGAAGATGAAATCTGCATCTCCATACAGATCCTCAGCAGAAGGAATCATGAAGTCCTCAAACATTCTGGTAGACTGTTGTGGTGACCTTGGATTTAAGAAAGCAGAGTTTACCAACACCTGCAGTGGACATTGCACCCAGATCATGACTGACTGTGGATATTTCACACTGGACCTCAAGCAGTATGGGTTCTGTTGCTCACCCTTCTTCCTCCAAACCCTTGGACCTTGATTTATGAATGAAAGACACACTTTACTGTCATCGGAGAAGAGGACCGAGGAACCTAACACTTGTAGTCCATCTCCTGGATGAGTCTGAATGTGGTGTTTTATGAAGCTGTGACTCCGCCTCATTCCACTCTTTCTGGATCTCTGACAGATTCTGGAATCTTCTCTGGTTGATAATCCACTGAAGCCCACGGTAATCTCTGTTGCTGGTGCATCTACTCCCGCCACATTTTGTCCTTCCACTAGACTTTCCATTGATGTGCTTGGACACAGTGCTCTATGAACAGCCAGCCTCCTTAGCTGTGAACTTTTGTGGCTTACCCATCCTATGGAGAGTTGTTATGTCTGCAGTCTTCCCCATATTGAACCGAACTGAGAATTGAACCAAACTGAAGCAATTTAATGACACCTGGGGAAACCTGTGCAGGTGCTTTGAGTTTAGTAGATGATTAGTGTCACACTCAGTTTAAAACATTCATGTCCTGCAACATTTGGGCTGATGTCTTCACAGTTTTATAATTTTTTGAAATCCTGTTTTTGTGGGTTTCATGAGCTGGAAGCCCAAATTATGTAAAAATAAACAAATAAATACATGAAATAGTTTAAATTGTGGACCCTGAACCTATCATCTATTAAAGATGAACTTTTTGAATGGAATTATGGAAGTTAAACAACTTTTCCATGATATTCTAATTTTTTGGAAAGGGTCTGTAATTCAGAAGCTTACCGCAGGACGAGAAGTAAAAGTGTTGGTGAAACGACCGAACCTCAGATTTAGAAAACGTCAAGTTATTTCCACATGTCAGTCTGTCTGTCCGCTCCTCCCTAACTGCTGCTGTCATGTTCTGAGTGGACCACAGACGGCTCCTCCACATGCTGTACACACACACACACACGCACACGCACACGCACACACGCACACACACACACACACACACACACACACACACACACACACACACACACACTACAAATGCCTCTGACTCCAGTGGTGTGTGTGCATGTGAAACTATTTGTGACATGCACTGTTGCCCCTGTGTGCTCCCACTTTTATCTATTTTCAGAGCCAGCCATTGAGAGTGTGCATGTGCACATGCATGGATCCTTAGTGAAAGAACACAAAGGTTCTGGACAATGTGATGGGCTTTGACTTTTGTCCCACTCCCACCAACAGGAAACTGCTCGTACGCCCACCGCACCCACACTTGGCCTCACACTGAGACACACATATGGGCAGACACACGTGCGCAGACACGCACACAAAAAGAAGACGTGTAATCTGTCCGAGGCTTCTTACGTGCACCAAGTATCCATTTAATAAGAGTAGCAGTTGTGCTGGGAAAGCCAAAAAGCACAGCTGGGTTACAACCTACGTGCTACGTAGTTAAAGCACACATGCATGATCGTGCACGCTGGGTCTTAGTGTTTACAGCGTTAAAACAGAAACATGACGTTCAGAAAAACAACCTGACAGGGTTCATGGGACGTTTCTGCAACTTTAAGATAAACTTTGAAACAACGTGCACAGCAGGACTTTATGGTTCGGATGAAAACTGTTTCAGAGAAGTTGGATCAGAGTTAGTTCTTCAGTTCTCCAGATGTTTGCTTCTGTCTGGGACCGTCTCCTGTCCCAGTTCCGCCCTTTGTCTTTTTCAGTTTTCACTCCACACAACAATGGAGAGAGGCGCAACTGCAGCGGGCCGGCTTTTCATAAAGCTGTGTGTGTGTGTGTGTGTGTGTGTGTGTGATGTCAGACACTGTAGCAGGGTGTGGTGAGACTGAGAGCAGAATAGATGAGGAGGAGGGAAAGCAGGGTTGGATTTAGTGCCCGGGCCGGGGG